TAATACAATTGTCTTTAATCATAACAATCATGGGCAATATGGCAATAGCCCATAATTAAGCAATTTTTACCAATTTCTGTTTTATTTGTACAAGCTGTTCCTCTTATGGACAGTAACATATAATCTCTAATAGTTAGTAATTATCACAATGATAGCTAATGTATATTCCCCCCTGCAAACTTTAAAAAGTCTTGTGGGATTCCTGAAATTACTGCACCAGGAAAAATTTTGCAGTTTTTTACCAATTCTTGCCCCTGACATAATAGTTACATTGGGTCCTATCCAAGTGCCATCACCTATTTCAACATCGTCATAAATACTTGTAAAAGCCTCAATAGTTACATCTTGACCTATTTTTGCATTGGGATGAATTTGAGTATACTGATGAATCATAAATTTATTTTCTTTTTACTAATTGAGCCATTAAAATGCCTTCAGTGCATAGTTTATTCCCCACATAAATAGTACCTTTCATTTCTACTAAACCTCTTCGAATGGGGGATGCTAATTCTAATTTTAATATCATTGTATCTCCTGGTTTTACCATTTGCTTAAATTTACAACTATCTATTTTTAATAAATAGGTATCATATTGGTCAGAGTCTGGGGATAAAATTAATGCTAAAATACCTCCTGTTTGTGCTAATGCTTCTATTTGTAATACACCTGGCATGACTGGGTTGCCAGGGAAATGCCCTACAAAAAAATGTTCGTTGAAAGTTACACTTTTAATTCCTACAATGTGATTATTACTTTTCTCTATAATTTTATCAACCAATAAAAAATGGATAACGATGAGGAAGCATTTTTTCATATCTGTTAAATTATAAACAGGTACTTGATTGACATCATATTTAGGAATATGGGAATTATTTTTATTTTTTTTAATATATTGTTTAATAATTTTTGCTAATTCAACATTTGCATGGTGTCCTGGTCCGATTTGCAATTAATATGACCTTGGTATAGGGTTATCCCACCAAAGCAAGGTCTCCTAATATATCTAATAGTTTATGACGTGCAGGCTCTCATTAGGAAATCTCAATTCTAAAATTATTCAAATAACCTTCACTTTTAACCTCAATATTTTCTTTATTAAAAATTTTTGATAAATGCTTTATTTCATCAGGGGATAATGTTTTGTCAACAATGATAATGGCATTGTTTAAATCTCCTCCTTTGATTAAATCTTGTTTTAAAAGTGCTTCTATCTCATGTAAAAAACAGAATGTGCGACAGGTAGAAATTTCGTTTTCAAATTTCTTGAATATGGTTTAATATAGGCATGTTGAGTACCTAAGACTGGGGAATTGAAATCAATCAAGGTATTGATTCTATAATTGTCAGCAGGGATAGCCAACATTTGAACACAGTTTTACAGGGTCTTCAAAAACTAATTTTATCTTCTATTAAATACCAAACTTTTTCTGCATCTTGTTCCACAATACCAACCTCCTTAATAATGTCTACAAAAGGTTTTGCAGAACCATCCATAATAGGAATTTCAGTATTGTCTACTTGTATTAATACATTATCAATAGATAAGCCTACTAAGGTAGCTAAAATATGTTCAACAGTATTAATACGAACAGAATTTTTTTCTAAGGTAGTCCCACGACTTGTATCTACTACTAAATCACAATCAGCTTCTATGATAGGACTATGAGGCAAATCCACTCTTTGAAAACAATACCCTGTGTCAATGTCAGCAGGCACTAAGGTCATTGTTACATTGAGACCTGTGTGTAATCCTTTACCTGTGATGGATATTGGGTTTTTTAAAGTATGTTGCTTGTTATAATTAAAATTAGAAACCATTAAAAAATTTAAAGTTAAAAATCAAATTTAAGAAAAAGATATTTATGCAAAACATCCATCAAAAACAAGCAAAATTACTTATTTTTTATTGTAATAGCAAAATTTTAAAATGGATATCCTATACCAAAATGTAAGACACCATCATTAAAAAAAACTAAATTGAGATATAAATCCATTGATAGGGTCTTTGATACGATATGCCCAATCTAAACGTAAAATAAAATAGTTATTAAAATTAAACCTGATACCCATTCCTGATGCTATGGCAAGTTGGTTTAAAAAGCGATTATATTTAAAAATACCTTCTTCTTCCTCAGGAACATTAGCATGTTTAACACCATATATTGCCTATATCTACAAATAATGCACTTTCTATTTTGAAAGAGGTTATTTTAATAATATTAAAGCGAAATTCAGCATTAGCTTCCAATTTAATGTCGCCCACACGATCTATATTTTGATATGCTGCTGGATACAAGGTACTTCCAGGACCTAATCCTCGTACAAACCAAGCTCGCATACTATTGGGACCACCTTGAAAAAATTTTCCTAAAAAAAAGGTGTTCTATTGTTTATAGTTAAAATATTATTGCCTATACTGAAACGAAATGCAAGGTTTGTTTTACTTGTAGTGTGCACATGTCCTCGCCATTCAGCTTGTAGTTGTACAAAGCGAGATAAATTAGCAATACTTGTAATTTTTTTCACCCAACATTCCCCATAGATTGGATTCTTCGGCACTCAGGAATACAGATTGGTCAAATTGTGGATAATTCCATTGTTTAGAAATATTGCATTGCAGCGATAGAATAGTACCATTATTATATAAATTTTCAAAATTTAAATTTTGATTAATAAGATTTTGAAATTCACTATAAGGGGTAAAATTATAAGATTCAATATTTAGGGGGATAAATTGAAATTCATAGCCAGACCAATTCCAATTATATGAAAAGTTAAGACGCATATTAAATACCTTATAAAAATTAGGACGCCCAATATATGTAGCATCAAAAAGCAGGCTATTATAGGCATTTTTAATATTTGTAAAATAATTTCTGTAAGGAATTAAAAAAATGAGGAAATCGTAATGATTGCCTAAGGCTAAATTGAATAGTCTGTAAAGCTAAAAGCTGTTTATTTGTTCCACCACCTACATCTGCTCCACCACTGGTAGTAATTTTATATTGGATACCATGTTTGAATAAATTACGAATAAAAAAACCAATAGATACATTCCCCCCAACTAAGGCATTAAACAATTGTAATTCGGAAGTACTGCGAGCTATTTCTAAGTTCATACTATACCCATATTTGTTATTAGGGATCATTTCATAGTAAATAAAAAACACTGCTGTCTTGATTATATTGTTCTCTAATAGATATATTAGACCAATTCCCTACATTAATAAGGTTGGATTGAATATTATTAATAGTTTTCCTCCTTATAAAAAATCTATTCTTGAATATCTAAGCTGGTTGAATAAAAAATTTATTCCTATAAACATCATTATCATTCATTAAATGTACATTATTATACAATTGGGTATTGGTATCATTGCTTAATAAATTGGTATTTTAAGATATATAGAAGATATTTTTATAAGGAATAAGGTGTGTGTAGAATCTACTAATCTATTTATTATTGAATTGTAAATTTAAAAATTTAAATTATATTTATTGGAAGGATATTTTTTTTATTGAGTTTTACATCAACATGTCCATATTCACTTGAAGAGGTATCTATTTTCTACACTGATATCATTTTTTTTTAAAATTGAGCATATCCTGCATTGCGTAAAATATTTTTTATTCTACTCATTTCATTTTCTATATGCTGTATATTAAATGCAGTACCCTTAGCAATAAATTGTGATTGTTTTTCTATGATAGGAAAGACATTACTAAATGCAGAGTCAAAAAATGTAATTAAAATTATTGATAATAAAAAGTTCATTGGGACTAAGTATATAATGAATGATGGCTTTATCTTTATTCTTCTTTAAAGTGATTGTATACTCACCCTTGGCATTGAGAAAACCTATGCTTTGTAAAGCTATTATTTGTTTGGTATAATGTTTTTTTTTTTTTATTTTTAAGGTATCAACAGGCTTTAATCTTTTTTTATTTACAAAGACATTAAAAAATTTTCTTTCTACTTGTATATCTTCGTCTATTAGGTTAATGAGATTGTTGTATAAATTATGTTTTAATGTTTAAATTTGTTTTTGTATTTTTTTTATTTTTTTTTACTAATTTTTTTTTAACAATATAAGGTTTTTTAATATCCATAGGCACTTTACAAGAAAATAAAAAAAATACAAAAAAACAAGAAATTATAGTTCTTTTGCAGATAGTTATTATATGATTGATATTATTTTTTATAGGCATAATGGTAAATAATAATCAAATAAAATGGGTAAAATCATTACATTTAAAAAAAAATAGAGACAAAGAGCAATGTTTTATTGTAGAAGGCGATAAAATTGTACAAGAGTTAATCCAAGACAAGAATTGGACTATCATTAGTATATTATGCTTTAAAAGAATGGCTCAACATACACTCACATTTACTATTAAAAAAAGGAAATTAGGTTTTGCGAAATTAATCATATTCTGTTACAAAGGATATCAAATTTAAAAACCCCTAATCTTGTGTTAGCTGTTGTAAGTATTAGAAATAATATACCTGTTTTTAATAATCCTTTTAAATTGGTTTTAGATGGCATAAGAGACCCAGGTAATATGGGCACTATTATTCGTATTTGCTGATTGGTTTAATTGTCATGAAATTTTTTGTAGTCCAGATACAGTAGATATTTATTCTTCAAAAGTTGTTCAAGCAAGTATGGGAAGTATTTTTAGAGTGTCTATTGCTTATGTTGATATATAGCTTCATATTTGAATGAACAAAAAAATAATAATATCCTATTTTTGCTACAATTATGGAAGGTCAAGATATTTCGTCATCTACAACCTCAAAGTAAAGGAATTATTATATTAGGAAATGAATCCATAGGTATAAAAAAAGCCTATATTGAAAAAGCAGACTATTGTATAAGTATTCCTAAGTATGGTGATGCTGAGTCTCTTAATGTATCAGTAGCAACAGGTATTATCTTATCACATTTACTATAATCCTCAATAAAATTTTATATTATTTGCAAAATAATTTGATTTAGTTTAATGGATAATAGTTTTTTAGAAAAATTGGAAATGATATGTGCTCATTATGATAAATTGGGTATTGCATTAACCAATCCGGAAGTTGTTAATAATAATGTTGAATTTAAACATTTAGTAGAGAGTACCGCAATACAGAGAAAATTGTTCATGTGTATGAAGAGTACAAACATATTTTGGATAATATAAATTTTTAATAGAGAGGCTTTATTTAGTGATGATACAGAATTGCGAGATTTAGCAAAAGTATAAGAAGCGGAATTGGAAAGCAAAAAAAGGATTTTTATGAGAACAAAATTAGACAAATGCTCATTCCAAAAGACCCTCAGGATGAAAAAAATGTAACACTTGAAATTCGTGCAGGCACAGGAGGTGATTTGAAGCGAGTTTGTTTTGTTGGTGATTTAATGACAATGTATGTTAGATTATTTGTAGCAATAAAGGTTTTTTGAAAAGTTTTTGTTTTTTTAAGTGAAAACATTAGGTACCATAGGAGGTTATAAAGAAATTATTTTTTTATCAGTAGAGGGGAGAGGATGTTTTTGGTACTTTAAAATTTGAAAGTGGTGTTCATCGTGTACAGCGTTGTACCGCTGACAGAGGATTCTGGACGTGTGCATACTTCGGCAGCAACAGTGGCTGTATTAACCTGCCAGAGGCAGAGGAAGTAGATGTGGTCATTAAGGATAGTGATATAAAACTTGAAACCAGTAGGAGTGGTGGGTGCAGGAGGTCAAAAATGTTAATAAGGTAGAAACCAAAGTGCGATTATTACATATTCCAACAGGAACAGTTGTAGAATGCCAAACAGAA